GACAGCTAGAAATACTTGGCTGACATACTCACTAGTAATTAAGGTTTAAAATCAAAACCATCAAAAACCCCTTAGCAAGCGAGAACATTTCCCCAACCAGCCTTCAGTGAAGGGGAAAGAAAACCCCCTTTAGAATCCAAATACTTGTAAGGAATGTAATCTTTGCAGTTCTGAAGAAAGCCTCCTACACACAAAACCAAATGGGCAAGTTTGAGTCCCAATGCAGGGGAGTTGCATCAGAAACCAGAAGTGAAGAACATGACCTCGCAGCTGCAGACAAGGCCTCTACAAGCAGTTTCAGATCCARTGTTTTAATCTACCAATTTTGTTTCAACTCGGATAAATTGTTTGTTGTTTTACAACAAGAATAAATATCTGCTGCATAATTTACATGTAGGGTCAGATTCCAGGGCACCAGAGGAACTCTTGTTTTCTAATTTACAAAAAGAAAAGAGGAAAAAAAGAAAAAAATGTGTTTGATCTTGCAATGTTTCATGGTGATTTTATAAAAAAAGGGGAAATCCCTCAGAAGAAAGACTAATGCCCTCACGTTCACTTCAGCATTTGATTCTTCCATCAATGCTAACTTCAGCCCTCAGAACTGAGCTGCATGTAGGTCTTGAACAGCCGAAGAAATCCAAGAGGTCCCTCTTCACCACATATACCACACACAAAACTCTAAATGCTTTCTGAGCATTGCCAATCACCGTGATGTATCTAAACAGAAGTGTATTAACAAATTCAGAAAAGATCAGACTGATGAGTTTAAGAAGTTTGAGAGAATTATTTCCTGCTCTAGAACCAGAGTTTCCACTACACTGAAAGGAATTAAAAAAAAAATTAAAAAAAAAAACCCACACAATAAGAACAGGAAAGGAAACAGAAGTAAAATGAAGAGAAAAGCACTTTGCAGAAGAAAAATCAAGTTACTCAATAGATGCAAGGTTCCAGTCCCAGAAAACAGGAAGACTTTCTCCAACCTACTTTGGTAAATCAAAGTATACAGTGAATTTTGCACTAGACGCATTGTGAATTTAATAACAAGTCTGAAAAGAGCTATATTTTAAAAATACAAAACATTACAACTAGAAGTTTTATGAATGCCTAAACAACAAAGTATTCAGAGGAATCACTGGTGAACATTCATCTAAAACCCAACCTACACTTCAGAGACAGCAGGAGGGGAGGAAAAAAAGACAAAAAAGAACAGAAACCCCCCACATACAACAACAAAAAAGCAAAAGCTACAGCACTATGCTCAACGTTGCTTTCTTGCTCACATGGGAGCTCCAWCAGCAAGTTAAAAGGATTAGTCTCATTTCGTAATTGCTTGCACACTAAGGAAATCTTATCAGCAAAGGGATTATTACAAAACAGGGAGCCAGAGGGAAATTGTACACAAAATTCTAACAAATGGCAAGAAACAGAAAAGATGGCTGATGTGTGTGGCTCACACCCTGTGCCTGTGTAACAAAACAGAAAAAAAAACTAAAAAATCTCTGGACAACCATAAGCTGATCAAGCAGGGAGTGGCTGTAAGAGTTTTGTGCAGTTAAGAAAACAACTTCAGCTTTGAACTGCTAAAGCAGAGCTGCAGTTAAGTCAACTGAACTGGTACAGTCATGAAGTGGAATAGCAGTCCTCTCTGTCAGATTTGCACTATGTTTAGAAAGAAAAAATAATTGCACAACTTTTAATTCCGCTATCAAAACATGTTTGTCATGTAAAATTTAAGGCACTTTAAATATTCTAAGCCTCATGGATGCAGAATAAGCCAGGCCTAAGGCAAAAAAGTCTCTGCATCCTTGCTCCAGGTCTGCACCTGGATTTTCTATGTTATCTCAGAAAGCTTCTTTCTACTTTGTCCATTTAACCAAAGCATAAGCTGCAAAGCCCAGTTATGACTTTATAATTTAAAGGTCCTGCCACTGAAAGAAAGCACCAGAAAAATCTCAAAGTGAAAACCTGCTTAAGACTTACCTAAATTTCTGTATTTCTTTTTGTGAAATTTCTGGGGTGGTTTTTTTGGTTTTTTTTTTTTTTTTTTTTAAAAAAAAACCTCATCCACCAACCTTCAAGCCTTTAAATCACTCAGAAAAAGAAAGTGCTTCAAAACCAGAGTCATAACTGCTAGCAAAGGAAAAATTTTAGCTCTCGGGGGTATTTTTTTTCCTTTCTTTATTCCTCCCAGTTCAGGGACGTGGGTTCCCTTGTCAGCAGCAAGTTCTACTTGGAATTCCACTCTATTCGTTGCACCCCTGAGTACTGCCTCTGCACTTCAACTGCTGGTGAAAGGATGGAGATTTTCAGAGCCTAATAAACATGGAGGGAGCTTCTCCCATTCTACCTACTGATCTTTTCCTATTTTGCTTCTTTTAACGATTTCTGCACATCTACTCATCATTTGCACAATTTTCTCTCTGGCAGGTGTTACAMTGATATGTGTATCAGTTCAGAATACTAAAAGGGAAAAAATAAGAATCAATGTTGCCAACTGCATGATGATGATGACGCTGTTTTTTCAAAGCAGTAAAAGCAATGTGGTTGTCTAACTGCAGACTCCAGCAAGAGGACACTTCCCTGCACTAAGTTGATTTTTAGAGAGTATCATCCTCTAGCTGCACATTTCATGGCTTCTATGAACTCCTCCTGTTACATATATAGGTGGCATCCTGTGTTTCTCCATTTCCTATGTAAAGCTGTGTGCACCAGCTTCTCAGTTTAATCATACYGAATCCTTTTGATTCGCCTTGATGTCCTATCTGGGGGCTGTGCCGTTTTTTTACTCTCCTCCTACTACATCTTCCTTTAATCTTCCTTGCATTTCCTACAGCATCTACCCATGTACCTTCTTCCTCACACCAAGATCAAAATCGTCTCCGTCTTGCACAGTTTTTGTTTGCCATTTTCCCTCTCTTTCACATTAGAGCCTCAAATTCGTTAGTTCCATGTCACCATATCACAGGACTCCCTATGATATCTTCTTTGAGCACATGTCACAGTCCTAAGGCACAAGTTCTCCCTCCTCCACCCCTCCCTACCCTGAAACCTTCTGCTTCATTTTCCTCCATTTCCTCCAGATTCTGCACATCCTCCCTCGCCCACCAGGGACTCTTTTTTCTCCCATTAGACTCTGTAAAGTAAATTATTCAAGGAATTTACAGCACAAATCTGTTCTTTAATCTACAGTCAAATATTAGAAAAAAAAATAGAATAAAAGGCTGGATGTTCCCAGAGCAGGGAACTTTTTTTTTTTTTCCAGAAGATACTGAAAGAAAATGAGGGATATACAGGTTACTGAGTGTAAAGTTCTTCAATTTCACATGAAACTAGGTCACCAAGTTAAAACTGCAGGAGCTACTTCCTTTAAACAGAAGTATGGAGATACTGATGTTATACACAGGGATTCCATCTTGGAAAGTTTTACTTCCTGCACCTCCATTTTCAAGAAATAAAGGTAAAAAACATCTCTTCTTAGAAAACCGCAACTAAGAAGTCAAATATTTGTCCCTGTCAATATATGAACTTTATTTAAGAAAACATTCTTCCCATAAGTAATATTGATGAGTCTCTACTAGAAGGTCAAACACTGCTTACAGGAGGGTTCAATTAACAGTTATTCAGCCGAGACCATCACTTCGCTCATTTTTTTTTTTTTTTAATCAATCTAAACAAATCTTTGATCCTTTTATTATAATCTTTTTCTCTGAGATTTGTTAATAAAGTCATGTAACACTGGTAGGACACAGGGGCAACCAAAGTGACTCTAGTTATTATTTTCATAGTTTTTCAAGAAAGCTACTATGGGAGTTTCTTGGCAGCTATCCTTGAAACCTAAGAGGCTTCACCAACATCAAACAAATGTATCAAAAATTATTTCTGAAGACTTTTTCTAAGTTATTTTGGTATGGGGGCGAAAGAGAATATACTTCAAATAAAACATTGAAAACACAGAAAGGCTGCATGCTAAGTCCACTTGCAGACCAGAACTTTTCTAGAACCAAAGACCCCAATGACAACAGGCTGCCATGCTGAGCCACGAGAACACAYGTAATTGCAGACCTATCCAAAGGTAAATGACTTCGAATGCCTTTTAACGAATCTGAGAATTAATCTAAATGAATTCTAAYGATTCTAAAATATTAGCAGCAATAATCTATGGCAGCTAGAAGATATAAACAACAGACAAGAAGAGGCTGACGTTAGCAACTGCTCTCCAGCTTAGCTCATCCAGCAAGAACAGGTATGGTAACATAAGCCTGTATAAGAATTATTATTTATATTTCATTTGAAAGAAAAGGTCTGCTTAAAATACACAGCAGAGCGAATGCTTGMAGTGATTTGTTGGTATCTTTTGCACATGCATAAAAATACGTTTGGTTTGGGATCACTGGAAACTGGGAAAGCCTTTCTAGGAAATAAAACAGATATATTCGCCTATGATCGCATGCTACTTCCCAGGCATTTAGCATTATCAAACACCTCCTGCAACAGTCTAGCCAGTACGTTGCCTGACCTGGTACAGCCATTTTTGCCCAGCCCCATGAATAAGGTAACCCAGTAATTCCTCCCCTTCCACCTTCTGAAGGCCTCAAGTATGTTTTTGTAACATTTTAGCCTATTGAACTGCAATAAACTGAAGAAGAAAACAACCGAGATGGTGAACGAGCAGCTCACTACATATTAACTGCMTGGTCTCCAATGCTCTGTAGCGTTTACCCGCAAAAATCCACAGGCCAGTAAACAGGCCCCGCAGGGCGGCTGGGGTTTTAGCTTGTTTCTGCCGCCCAGCCCTCTGCCTTCCCGCCGCCCCGGCGGGGACAGAACCCCCATTCTGCGGGCAGATCGCTGCTTATTTCCCTAATAGGTAAGAAACCCCCACGGGCCGGGGCAGCCGCGGCCTGACGCCAGGGCCGGTTCCACACCCCCTTTTTTGACAGCACCGCCGGCGCCCGCCGAGCCGCGGCCCGGCGCGGCCGCCACCATTTCCCGCCGCTCACCTCTCTGCAGCAGCAGCTTCACGTCGCCGTTCTCCTCGCGGGCCGCGCCGCCGCCATCGCCGCCCGCCGCCAGCGCGGGCAGCGCTCCGTGCTTCCTCCTCTCCTTGTCGCGCTTCTCCTTGGGCCTCTTGGGCCTGGCGCTGCCGCCCGCCTCGGCGGCCGCGGCCAGGCCGTGCCGGTGGTGGCGGTGCTGGTGCTGCGCGAAGGCGGCCGACGGCGCCGGCAGCAGCACGGCGGGCGGCAGCAGCTTCCGCGGCAGCGGCGGCGGGAAGGCGAAGGCGCCCGCGGCCGCCGAGGGCCCGGGCTGCAGCGCGGGGAAGCTCCAGGCCGCGGGGAGGCTGTAGCCGGGCACGGCGGCCGGCGGCGGCTGCCTGCCGCTCGCGCCGCCGCCCCCTTCGCCGTTGAGGCGCTTGGCGCCCTTCAGGCTCCGCTCCTCGGCGCCCTTCAGCTTCTTGGCGGCCGGCTGGGAGCCGCGCGAGGCCTTCGCGTCCGGGGCGGCCCTGGCGCCGAACGGCTCCTGCTCCGGCGACGCCGCGCCGCGAACCGGGCTCGGCGGCGCCGCCATTTTGGGCTCCTATTTACTCCGCGCTCGCCTCAACCGACAGCGCTGGGAGGGGCAGGCGGGGGCGCCACCGCCTCGCCCAATGGGCTGGGGGCAGGGCCGGAGAGACAGCGCGCTGGGCCAATGGCAGGAGGAGAAGGGGGCGGGCTCTCTGGGGATTGGGGGCGGCGGGCTCGGCTGAGTGCGCAGTTGGAGCGCGGGCGGCGGAGGG